ACTGTAACTGTTCCATGTTCTTAGTACTTTAACACTTGCAACACGTCTATACTGTAACTGTTCCATGTCCTCAGTACTTCAACACTTGCAACACGTCTCTACTGTAACTGTTCCATGTCCTTAGTACTTTAACACTTGCAACACGTCTATACTGTAACTGTTCCATGTCCTCAGTACTTTAACACTTGCAACACGTCTATACTGTAACTGTTCCTTGTCCTTAGTACTTTAACACTTGCAACATGTCTATACTGTAACTGTTCCTTGTCCTTAGTACTTTAACACTTGCAACATGTCTATACTGTAACTGTTCCATGTCCTTAGTACTTTAACACTTGCAACATGTCTCTACTGTAACTGTTCCTTGTCTTCAGAACTTTACCACTGGCAACTCCTGTCTTTACTGTAACTGTTCCATGTCTTCAGTATTTTAACACTTGCAACACGTCTCTACTGTAACTTTTCCATGTCCTTAGTACTTTAACACTGGCAACTCCTGTCTTTACTGTAACTGTTCCATGTCCTTAGTACTTTAACACTTGCAACATGTCTATACTGTAACTGTTCCTTGTCCTTAGTACTTTAACACTTGTAACACGTCTATACTGTAACTGTTCCATGTCCTTAGTACTTTAACACTGGCAACTCCTGTCTTTACTGTAACTGTTCCATGTCTTCTGTACTTTAACACTGGCAACACGTCTCTACTGTAACTGTTCCATGTCTTCAGTATTTTAACACTTGCAACAAGTCTCTACTGTAACTTTTCCATGTCCTTAGTACTTTAACACTGGCAACATGTCTAAAGGACATGGAACAGTTACAGTAAGTACTTTAACACTTGCAACACGTCTATACTGTAACTGTTCCTTGTCTTCAGAACTTTACCACTGGCAACATGTCTATACTCTAACTGTTCCTTGTCTTCAGTACTTTAACACTTGCAACATGTCTATACTGTAACTGTTCCATGTCCTTAGTACTTTAACACTGGCAACTCCTGTCTTTACTCTAACTGTTCTATGTCTTCAGTATTTTAACACTTGCAACATGTCACTACTGTAACTGTTCCTTGTCTTCAGTACTTTAACACTTGCAACATGTCTATACTGTAACTTTTCCATGTCTTCAGTACTTTAACACTTGCAACATGTCACTACTGTAACTGTTCCTTGTCTTCAGTACTTTAACACTGGCAACTCCTGTCTTTACTCTAACTGTTCCATGTCTTCAGTATTTTAACACTTGCAACATGTCTATACTGTAACTTTTACATGTCTTCAGTACTTTAACACTTGCAACAAAAAGTTACAGTATAGACAGTGACATGTTGCAAGTGTTAAAGTACTGAAGACATGGAAAAGTTACAGTATAGACATGTTGCAAGTGTTAAAGTACTGAAGACATGTAAAAGTTACAGTATAGACATGTTGCAAGTGTTAAAATACTGAAGACATGGAACAGTTAGAGTAAAGACAGGAGCTGCCAGTGTTAAAGTACTGAAGACAAGGAACAGTTACAGTAGTGACGTGTTGCAAGTGTTGAAGTACTGAATACAAGGAATAGTTACAGTATAGACATGTTGCCAGTGTTAAAGTACTGAAGACATGGACAAGGAATAGTTACAGTATAGATGTGTTGCCAGTGTTAAAGTACTGAAGACAAGGAACAGTTACAGTACTTCAGTACTTC